TTATGGTGCTTTCATTAAGGCACAACATAATCAATGAACAGGGACAGTAAAGTCTATGCACAGCACGTCTATATACAAATTAAAGATGTTTATTAAAAGGTCGCTCTGTGGAGAGAAACATTACCATAACATAAGGATGGAAACACATATACAGGGTTGAAGGGGCCAAACGTAATTATAGAATTTAAAATAGAAAGATAACATAAAAAGTTGATAAGAGTTATATATTTTCTCATATAGGCTACATATGCCTATATACTGTGTGTGTATATACGTATATATATATATATAATATAGGCAAAAAATATATTACTCTTAAAGTAGTTCACTTTTAAAAAAACTTTTGCTGATAATTTACTCACCCCCATGTCATCCAAGATGCCCACGTTTTTCTTTCTTCAGTCGAAAAGAAATTAAGGTTTTTGATGAAAACGTTCCAGGATTTTCTCCATATAATGGACTTCAATGGGAACCAAACGGTTCAAGGTCCAAATGGGAGTTTCAGTGCAGCTTCAAAGGGCTTTAAACAACACCAGACGATGAATAAGGGTCTTATCTAGAGAAACGATCGGTCTTTTCAAAAATAAATAAAAAAGTTTAAGTTTTATAAGCACAAATGCTCGCCTTGCTCTGTTCTGTGTTGAGCGTTCATGACTCTCCTGTTCAAACTCGTTCATCAAAATGAACAAATCTTTTTTCGAGTCATGACTCGAAGGGTCCTAGATAAGACCCTTATTCCTCGTCTGGTGTAGTTTAAAGCCCTTTGATGCTGCACTGAAACTCTCATTTGGACATTGAACCGTTTGGTTCCCAATGAAGTCCATTACATGGAGAAAATCCTGGAATGTTTTTATCAAAAATCTTAATTTCTTAAATCTTGATCTTAAATCTTAAATCTTAATCTTAAAATCTTGGATGACATGGGGGTGAGTAAATTATCAGCAAAGGTTTTTTTTAAAAAAGTTAACTACTCCTTTAAATTCTCTCCCCAATACCCTGCCCATCACAGACAACTTTCTGCATTTTTACATTTTCAAAAAAACAATACCTAGTATTATTCTAGCTGTTTTCCTCATGGAAACCAAAAGATGTCTCATAAGGACAAGGGTGTCAGATATTGCCATCTTTGTAAGGACATTTTGTCCCCATGTAGGGTTTACCCAACCCGATCTCACGACCAAGTCGTACGAATTCGACGAATGATTAAAAAGTGGCTAATTCGTAACAATCAGGGGCGGCTCGCCTATAGAGGGCGCTGGGGCGCCGCCCTCCCTCCGACCTGTCTGTCTGTTTTTTTAATATATATATTATAATTTATCATTTTGAAAAATAATCTTTGTTAATTATATGCTAATAATGGTTTTACTTTGAAAAGTGTTTTGAACTCACCAGAATGATATTTGCATTCACTTTCGTTACTTTTATTATGTTGGTGTAGTAGTATAGCCAATAGGCTGTCTTCTCAGGGCGCCAGTTCGCTCAGCCCCACAGTGCTGGAATTTAAGCCAATAGTTCCCCGGTTGCTATGCAAAAAAGTTTATATTTCGCCAATCAGCGCCGTCAAATTTTATGGTTTGGGGGCGCTGAAAATATCGCCCACAGTATCAGATTAGGGGAGTGCACCGTGCACGCGCACCACGGGACATTTTTTTACCTCAGATGAGAGAAGAATGGCAGCGCCAGTGACGTCGAGTGGAAATAATGTAAAGTTAGTCGCTCTGTCACTCACTCACTCACTCACACACACATAAACACTGTTTCACACACATTTGATATTAAAATAGTTATAGGAATATTAATACCTGTGTGTTTGCTTTGTTTTTGATGTTTTTAAGTTCTGAGCTAGATTACTGTGTTTCATACTAGTTAAAATCAACTGTCTTCTTATACTTGGGTGTTACAATCAAGAATGCTGTCCCACCCTCTCTTTCAGAGCCTTTTCTCTCTCTCTTTCTCTAGTATCAACACATTGTTATCCATTATCCAATTGTCAATTTGTCAAAAATATGTAGTCTACAGCTGGGGATTGATTAAACTAGATTTTTGTATTACCTTTTTTTTTTTTTTGTATTACCTATATTATAATTTATCAATATTATGCGTTTGCACTTTTTCTGTCAGCACACAGAGCATAATAAACATGCAACTTGTTCATTATCATTAACTGTCAAACTGTTATTATTATTATTGTATTATTTGACTATTGGTATTGACTGGTTTAAGTTATTTTATTTGTATAGGTAAGGGCATGGCCTAAGGCCTAAAATGCACCAGAATGCAGGAAATCACATCTACTAAATTCAAAATTTTCTGGGGGGGAACCCCCAGACCCCCCTCTTATTCAGCCCCCCCTACAATAATTTTCACCAGCCGCCACTGCACAACAGTAACATATAACCCCATGTTATACCGACACCGAGTTCTGCAGAAGAGCATCTCTGAATGTACAACATATCGAACACTGAAGCAGAAGCAGAAAACACAAAAGTGACACTCAGTCAGATAAGAACCAGAATCTGAGGCGATAATTCACACACCAGCATTAAACAATAGAGGACTGGAGAAATGTTGCCTGAGTCTCATTTGTGCATTTTTGTTCCAGTAACACAATAGCCTATATTTTGATATACAAAATAATCTTCACTGTATGAGTTGATAGTTCACAGCTTTCTCTTTTCTGCCCACATCCAGCAATGGTTTCTGTTAGAGACGGACAGAAACATTCATATCACAAAAATGAATCAGTTTTCTGATCTATAACCAATGAATATGATTTAGAAATGCTTAAACCAAATATCCATGAGCCCAATGATATGCAGTTTCGTTCACTGTTCTGTGTTCATTCTTCCTATGGCAAGCCGTTTTAGCTTAAATTGTACCCAGCCTTACTCGTCAGAATTGCATTTTTACTAGTAACAATTCAATTAGAGAGCTCTACAATTCAATTCTTACTAGTAAGAATTACAATTAGAGAGCTCTCTAATTTAATTATTACTATTAAGAATTACTTTCAGAGAGCTCTCTAATTAAATTCTTACTAGTAACAATTGCAATTAGAGAGCTCTACAAATTAATTTTTACTAGTCATACATACCCGGCGCTATGGGCGGGCCTTAGGGGGCCGGGCCCGCCTACCGAGCGCCTGTGCCCCCCCTGTGCCCCCTCTCCATGCAATTTGCATTTAATAAATTATTTTAAAAATAACAATAATGTACGTGTAGTATTTATATATTTATTGATGTGTGTATTTATGTGTAATGTTTGAGTCATAATCTTTTTTTTTTTTAAACACCCGAACGTTTTACTGCTTGTTTACAAAAGGGGGTTTCCCGCCTACCGCTCTACAGCATCTCGATAAAATTATAGCTGCGACATGCGCTAACTATGTTAAATTAATCGTGAAAGTGGAAATTGAAAACATGGATATACGAAGATTTTTCAAATCGTCAGATTCTGGAGGCACGAAACTAACACCTGTGGCGCCTGAAACACCTGCTACAACGAAGTTGCACCAGCCGTGTGACACAATGTTAAATCATAAAACAGATATGTACAATAACATTACGATGTCCTTTAATCGATTTAAATAGTTATTGATTTAGGTTTATGTGGTCGTTCAATTAGGCCTTTATATTAGAATTGAATGTGACTGTAAATGGTCCAGGGGTAGAACTTTTGCCAAGCGTGCCAGAGGTTCTGGGTTCTAATCCGTTCTAATAATTTTTTTTTCATCAAAACTGATTACGTTTATCAGTGGTTGTATATCAGGCAGAGACAAAACATCTTCAGAACATTTTGTGTTTTAATTTCACCGGAATGAATAGAGTCTCTCCACAACGGATTGCGCGTCCGAGTGAAGCGCAATGAAAAAAACACATTAGCCTATCCGCGCCAGCGGCAACGAGCATTTGATCAGTTGATTTAAAAAACACATTTCAGCTCTAGATCGTCTCTTATTTAAAAAACGAACGAAATGAATGCTCTGCTAGTTAACTGAAGATGTTTTGTTTATTTGTATTGGTACACGTTTCAAAAGTGGTGGGTACAATATCGATGGTGGGGACATATCCCACCCGCAAATTACGCCTGGTACTTGTGAAATTGAAATCGGCGTGAAACTATTGTAGCAATAGTTGTTTTTTGTCCTATAGAAAAAAATATTGGATGTCATAATTAGGCCCCCCCTACAATATTAAATGCCCGTCCATTGGTTTGTTTCTGCAGCCGGCTCTACATATGACTCATCCCAGACAACAAATTAGATCGTGCCGACGTTGGGGCGCGCGTGGCTGCCCGACATAAAGTGCCTCGGTAAGATGTCTTATGGAGATCGGTAGCTAATCGGCAAGACATTGGGAAGACGGGGGTTTTAGAACGATCGCCGACCGCGAGCCAACGTATACCCGACATGATCGCCGACCGTGAGCCAACGTATACCCGATATAATTATTATGACCTATTCAGCGCGATCCCACTAGAGCAGGGAAAACATTCAGACGCCTGCCTCGCTCCCTTTGACTTAATACTGGAACAGCTGATTTTCGTCTGCATCGCTGGAAAGGGCACAGCATGCTTGAAAATCAGCTGTTCCGGTGTTAAGTCAAAGGTAACGAGGCTTCTGAATGTTTTTCGCCGCTCTAGTAGGATCCCACCGTTATGTCTAATTATTGATTTGTTTAGGCTAACTGCTGTCAGATTGTTCCAAGGACACAGGTTGCCTATTGTCTATCAACAATCAATAACAATATGATTTGTTAATCGTAACATTTCTTCCCTAACAATTTTGTCAATTGCAATTAAATTGAAGTGAAAGTTAAATTGAAAGTTAGTGATTGTTTGTGTAGGGTGTAGCCTATTTCAAACACAGTCTGACTACCTGGGAAATGTCAGTCTAACATAAAAAATGAATGGATCAGTGATATTAAAATTAAGTTTGATGGTCATGCAAATTAAGCTAGGAGTTTTCCAGGATAAATAATAAAAATGAGAGCACCGGAAGATGACCTTGAACATTTATTTTTTACTTTTGTTTTTGCAAAAGCAGTATCATTTATTTTAACACTCATCAAATCACACATAGAAAAGTACAACAACAACAAAAAGAAATTCCCTCCAAAATAGGTAAACAGGAAAAATCAGTCCAATCAATTATTTCACTTTAAGATGCTCGCCCTCTTGCTTCCTGTCCCTCCTCAGCCGCAGCCAGTTTCTCGCAGTCATCTCTACATCTGCCTCAGTGGAATTTTGTTGGGTAGGATTTCTTAACACAGCACCTAAACGAAACAAAATAAAAAATAAATAAAGCAAATTTATACTTTTACTAATTTAGTCTGATGTTCTGAGTAAGAAGTGCAGTAGCATACATTACATATAAAATATCGTACCATTGTTAGTCCTCTAAAGGATCCCTGGAAAAGGCTGCAAAGCACACAGGCCGTCATTATTATCCTGCGGCGTCACTAGAAAATAGAGAAAAACCAAATTATTGGAGTGAACAGTAAGTCAAGTTTATCACAATTATATAAACTAATGTCAGTGAGCTGAGTAATAATTGCCACACATTTCTATCAGCAGCAACTCATCTTAACCCATGTCAAAATAACAGAGCTAACCCAGTGTCACTCCACATCAGTGGTTCTCAAACTTTTTCTGTCATTCCCCACTTTGCATAGAACTGTGCTGTGCTCTATATGTGTTTGTGTGTGTGTTTGCGAGTGTGTGTCAGTGTGTTCTTTGTCTGCGTCTTAAATAGCTTACAGTCAGGAAAGCCTTCAGTCTATGGAAGCACATGGGTAGCAATATTCAATTTGAATGAAAATTAATTTCATGATTTAATTTGATTAATTTCATCGCAAGTGTCTTGACTGTGAGTGTAAACGCAATTAAAAGTAACATTTGAATGATCATTAAATTTGCCACAGTTTTTGCTTGAACATGTTACACATATCTAATCATTTCTGTAATTCATTTTCATTTTAATTTTGACACTTATAAAGCATTTCAATATGCATATTAAAACTAGTGTATGAAATGGCAAATGTAAATTATGTAATTTCATTTTCATTTTGCAACAAACGTTGCTAGAATGTAAAATATAAATTTAAATACACAATGCAATGCCATTTTACATATTGCATTGTCATTTTGCATATTACATTTCAAATTGAATATTGCTACCCATGTGCTTCCATATCAGTCCTCCAGTCCTCCTTCTTGAATATTAACTGCGGCCTCTTGGAAAGACAGAAAACCTTGGCTAACTTATCACACTACCAATATAAACTCCAAAATCATATCTGGAACACCAAACTATGGTATGCGCTGTGGACCTGTGCAGTACACTGTGTCTACTTGAGTTTAGGGACCTGATGCAGTTTACTACAGAGGGGACACTTACCTTTACTATACGATGATGTGGGATGGGCTGGAGGAGATTTGTCGTGCGTTTTCTTCTTCTTTGCCTGTGTTGTTTGTGGTGCATTTACTGTAGGGTGTCTGATGAAGGGCACGATTTAGGGTGTCTGATGCAGGGGATGGTGGTGGTGATGGTGATCCAAGTTGCAATGGTCTGTAAATGAAACGTTTTTACAAAGATTAGTTATCATATTGATCACATCGAACAGAGAGAAATATGACATGGGTGACATACTCTGTGTGATACAAAGAGGATGATCAAAAAGTCAAAAAACATATGAAGCTCACTGAAATTGGAAAACATTTTAAATATACAAAATAAATGAACAAAACAACCAAAAAACAATAAAAGCAATGTCCCGGTTAACAGAAAATGCACTTGAATAAATAGCCAAAATACAAATAAAATGGTTGACAAAACCCGACCATACCCTAAATTATTTGTTATTAAAACATTAACACACAAACCACTGTTAATTTAACATAAAGCAAGCAGCTACTGCGTGCATTGTCTGGCATGACTGAATGGGCTCCCTTAATAATTCCAAAAAAGCTGACAGTTCATCATGATCTCACACATCTCTGTTATTACCAATGAAGCTAACTGCACAATGAATCTCATATAATATCTAGGCTACACTTTGTTTGTTATAATTAGAGGATTTGCCAGCATACAGAATTCATCACTGAATAAAAAAAGTCTGTTTTGAGCAGTGAGGGAAGTATATCTTAAATGCTTCTGATTGGCGTTCAAGAAATCAACATGTGATTGGCTACATTGCTCAATAATGCAAACATGTTATAAATAGAAACTCTAGCCTGTAAATCGTTACTACTTTGTTTTAGTTGTTCTTGCAGATGACTAAAAATCTATTAGTTTTTATATGTTTTATAAATAAATATTTCTAGTTTGCGGGAGTACCGCAAATCGGTTTAATCTCCCGCAACCCGCACACACAGAGTGAGTGCATTACCGCTTGCACTCGGCCATCGAATCTAGTGCAGCGCCGCACTCTATTGCGTTGGGAGTGCACGTCTCTAGATCTAAGGCCCGACCCGAGGATAGTGTCAGCCCAGGTCGGGTCAAGTCCTTGCTCGGGCAGAGAATCTAAGCTCTAGTTCACGCTAAGGAACCGGGAGTTTGTCATCCAGTCTCTTTGGTATAGAGAGACAGAGAGAGACGACGAGGAAAATAAACAAGCATGCAAATGTAAATTATCGTGTCCAGAAAAATTTGAGTTTGCCATGCCTCTATCATATTTGCAATGCTGAGTGACAAAAAATACCTTTTATTGACAGTGATAGACAGTTGACAAATATCTATACCAACATAAACATAAAATTTGCAACGTTACAGCACTCAGCATTAACCTGATGTTGACAATGGAGTTCTCCTGTAGCCTTATTTAGGTCAAAGATAAATATTTCCACTACATTACTGCCCTGGCCTACCTGTAAACCATTCCTTTGCTACTAGTCCACTCGCTCCACTATAAGGTATAGGCTTTCCTGATGCAAAATTAATAGTACAGACAGTAAAGGCAGAGACAGGTAAAGGTCACATTTTTTAGGATCTTAGGATGCCAATAATCAAGACAAGCAAACAGGGGAAAGTTATTACATACGTGTGTATCAATATGTGAAGACCCTAGAGATGTCCCCTACTCGTCTCAATCCAGATGGATGTGGTGCTGGTCCACTGGGAAGACCATACTGTAGTTCCAGCCGTCGTGTGTGCTGACGCGGCAAGTACACTGCAGCCGTAATGCCGGACAGAAGGGGAGTCACACCAACATATGGAAAGAAGTGTAAATGGATGGAGAATCATAGTTTACTATAAAGCTACGTCTTAGTTTGTGCTAATCTTGGCGAAAGCCGAGTACAAATCTGCATGAAGTTTTAACATCTACTCTCGTGTAATGGAAATCATGTGCAAAATAACTTTTAACTAGATTAGTTAAAGATAGTGTTTCAGTTGTCTTTGAGGTCAATTAAAACACATACTTACTGTACAAAGGCAAAGACGCTGTGCAAAATGGGCCTGGGCTCTGAAAAGAGCCTTTGGGGTGTATGTAGCTCCTGTTGAGAAAAAGACGAAACATGAAAAGGAGTCAAATATATTGCAAATGCCTTTGTGAATTAATGTGCACTCAATTTATCTTTATTGACTAAAACAGTATGTTAAGAAAATGGCAATTCAGAACTGTAGGATGACTTCTAGATCAATCACTCACTGAAAAAAACAGAAAAGACCATTCTATTTTGTTTAACAAAGGTTAAGGCTCTATTTTTTATGAATAGCTGTGTGTCTTCACTTACTATCACTTTACTATAACCACTTCTTTGTATGACTGTCTAGTGGCATGCGCGCTTGTACTAAACTAGGTCTTTGATTGACAGGTCTAATTTTCACGGTAAACGCACAACAAAAGAGCTGCTTTAATTTTAAGCATATGTCACTTAAACAAAATAATTAAAAATCCCTTGAGTGTAAGGGGTTAATATTATAAATGGACAGATGTATGATTGTTTGGAAAAAAGTCAGTCCATAGTTTTATGACCGTTTATTAGTTTAGCCTGGTTGTTTTAGGTTATCCTCAGACTGACGAAAAACGAGTTCCCCTCATGTCTAAAAATACATAGGCTACTGTCAAAAATAACTAATTGAAAATATTTAATGCGAGAACATAAAACAGTCAGTTAATAATTAAAGTCAACAGTTAGAAAATAACTGTTGATCCTCCGCCGCCAATCTCTGTCATCCGTATCGTAAACATTTCTCAGAAAACTCGACGTTTTCTAACAAAATTATATTTTTCAATGAAAAAATAAGTACATAAAACAAAATAAACACTTACTGGCCTGAAAACGGTGTGTTTGAAAAGGATAAACATACTCACAGAGTCCGTTGTAGACTTAGCTGTAGGCTGTAGTGTAGACGATGCTGAGATCACTCACGCGCATAGCGCACCGTCATAAAAACGTGTGCACGCGCGTGAAGGTCTTGATGTGGACCAACGGTTGCGCAGATATTATTTATTTAAAAAAATAGAAGCGGGATCGGCAAAATGGTTCATCACGGTTCCTCCACCGATCTCCGGAGTTGTGCATGAAAGTGGCTATTCATCCCGCGGCCCGCCGATGGTTTACCCACCAAAGTTTTTTGTTGTGCAGGGGAAAATCCCCTCCCGATACTTTGCCGCTGGTGCCCTCCAATTGCCAACGTCGGCAAGACGTTCAGTGCTATCTGGGATATGTCTCCATTGACTTCCATTCATTTTTAATTAGAGAGCTCACTAGAGAGCTCTACAATTTAATTGTTTCTAGTAAGAATAACAATTAGAGAGCTCTCTAATCCTATTATTACTAGTAACAATTATAATTAGAGTGCTCTCTAATTCAGTTTTTACTAGTAAGAATGCAATTGCAGAGCTCTCTTATTTAATTTTTACTAGTAAAAAAATGAATTAAAGATATGTATAATTGCAGAGCTCTGTAACTGAATTAAAGAGCTCTGTAATTGCATTCTTACTAGTAAAAACTGAATTAGAGAGCTCTCTAATTATAATTGTTACTAGTAAAAACTGAATTCGAGAGCTCTGTAATTGCATTCTTACTAGTAACAATTCAATTCGAGAGCTCTCTAATTGAATTAAAGAGCTCTGCAATTGAGTTGTTACTAGTAAGAATTAAATTAGAGAGCTCAATAATATTAATTCTTACTAGTAACAATTGCATTAGAGAGCTCTCTAATTGCAATTGTTACTAGTCATAATTGTACAGCCCATTCTCACCCCCAAGGCGTCACCTAACTGACGACTTGGGAAGCATTTGACCATGCTTCAATATCTGACGCTTTAGGCGCCCTTTAGCGTCAGTTAGATGACGCCCTAGGATCGCGTGTACCCTACCCCCACCCCAGACAAAACCTAACAGCGTCCTCTAATGGCGCTTTTCCACTGCATAGTACGGTACGGTTCGGCTCAGTACGCTTCGACTCGGCGCGGAACAGTTCGGTTCGCTTTGCGTTTCCACTGCAGTAGTACCCCTTCCAAGTGTGTGGGACTGATCGTTATTTGCGCGCCTCTACTGCCATGACATCATCTTAAAAGCGCCACATTTTCAAACCCACAACACAGGAACAATGGAGACTATCGAGGGATGGTGTTCCTGATTCTCGGTATGTGGTTGTTTTTAACTGCTAGACGGAAAAATGTGTTTAAAATGAGGCTGATGGCAGCAAAACAAAAATACTGCTAAAAAAGTGTCTCGTGTCGCAAATCCAATGACGCTAGTAGTGACGCAAGGAATGACGATTCTGTCTGACCAATCAGTGATCTGCAGTGTTTCACGTCACATTTTAGTACCGGTACGCTACGCTTGGAACCTCAACAGACCAGGTACCATTTAAAGTGTCCTGAAGCGAACCGTACTGTACCGTACCATGCAGTGGAAAAGCACCACAAGTGAGCCGTACCGAACCGAACCGTACCGTACTATGCAGTGGAAAAGCACCAGAAGTGAGCCGTACCGAACCCAACCGTACTGTACTATGCATTGGAAAAGCGCCTTAACTGACGCTTTCCTTTAGCGTCAGTTAGATGACGCCGTAGGATCGCCTAAAACGTCAAATATTGAAGCATGGTCAAAGGTGACGCCTTGGGGTGAGAATGCGTTGGATAAAAAGTAATTTATCATTTTATCAAAGAAATCCCGTCGTCTCTGGAGCGCAGTGAATTGTGTAACTGTGATGGATCCATCTGTTGTATCCTTTATTTCATTTTGGAGGATTCTTCGAATTGGGCCAATTGGCATTTGAACGCGGCCTCTGTAGGATGCGCCTCTGAATTGGGACGCAGTTTGAGACTCCCACAATAAATGATCAAGTGTTTACTGACCTGTGGCAGATCTCCCGTCTGAAGATAGTAGATCTGTGTGTATTCAGACTCTGTGGTTGTCAGATCTACAAACATGTGTGAATCAGTGTGAGGAGAGTTTGTGTATTTAACATCAGTATCACACACTCATCCTGCTCTGATCAGCAGTTACGAGTAAATAAAGCAACATTTCCTTTGACAGGGTTGTAATGCCATCTAGTGGCACACGTTTAGAGTTTAAAGTTTAAATTATCTAAAGAAAGCGTACCAACTGTTTTCATATGCGGTTTTAAAAATGATCAATTCAACTTGTTAATGGAAAAATGAATGTAGAATTTTAATTGCATTTACAATTGACTTATAAATCGGTTTTAACATAAATTGCAGCACATCTTTTGAACACTTTATCTTCACCCAGAAAGACTTCATTTAATGTATAAGGCGACACTTGCCCTGTTGTGATGCTTCTTTGCAGTATTTCACCAACACAACTGCAGCATAGACCATCAATAAACCAACTGATGTCAGCGGAATAAGAAGTGACGGCTGAATGACGTCTGTAAATAACGAAGAGAAAACAGTAAATCAAAGACTCAATCAAGACATTATAGAGTGCTGAAGATCTCAATATAAATCATCATCTTAAACTAAAGATATTTGATCTGATGGTAACAGAAAAGACGAAATACAAACCAAACATAAATCTGCACTCTTAGAAGAAATGGTTCTATTTAGAACCAGAAATGGTTCCATCCCCCGCTTCATATCCAAAATGATTCTATATAGAACCTTTTTTTTTGGTAAAAGGTTCTATTGGCCAAGTATGGAACCCCATGGTTCCATATAGAACCCAGAGGAACCCTTTTTTTAAGAGTGTATAGTAGAGCCCGACCGATAAAGGATTTTGAAGGCCGATACCGATACAAATATTTTTGGCTTTTAAAATCCGATATTCCGATATATCGGCCGACATTTTATTTATGTATTTATTTTTTTATTAAGAGAACTGATGGGGATGTTCTTTTGATTGTTATTCAAGCAATGTATGTATCGTGTCCAACTCAACGAGTGTTGCCAACAGGAATGGTGTAGAGTGCCCTCTGGTGGACAAACTATACAACTCCAACACTCATGACATGGTTCAAGCGTGTTTCGTCCGTTTTTATTTTATTTTTGAAATATTCATTTATCGGCCATTATAACTGCCGATACCGATAGTTTGGAAAATGCCTAATATCGCCCGATAATATCGGTCTGTCGATATATCGGTCTGGCTCTAGTGTATAGAACCTTTTAGGGGTTCCAAATATGTAGCGCTGATAGAACCTTTTAAGGTTCTATATAGAACCTTTTCTTCTAAGAGTGTGTTAATGTGACAAAGTGGATATGCGAGTTCAACTATAAAGACACTATAAGATGGGTTATTGAGATCAAACTTTTGAACAAAATCTTTAAAGCTAAGTAAGATCAACTCAACAGTTTTTCCCTGTAGTATTTACAACATTAACATCCAGCAAATACTGAAGTCTGACGAACCTGAGCATGTGTGACAGAGATCAGTGTTGAGGTGTGTAGTTCTGTTGGTGAATGAATAAGACACCACACATCTGTAGGAATCATCCAGACACTGAATCTCCAGAGGTAGAGAGAGACTGATGCTGATATTAGACGCACTGATCCCGGACAATACACTCATTCCTTTATACCAGGAGAGAGTCACATGACTCACATTCACAGCTGAACACACCAGTGAACATCTGGACTCTGATGATCTTGATGATGATGATGAAGGATTCTGAACTGATGAAAAGTGCCTGGTGATGGCAGGAGTGGGCAGACGAGCTGGAAATTATAACATAAAAACTGAAATGTTAATTAAGGAACAATCAATGATATCTTAGACATTGGTAAGTAAGATTTTCAAACATGCCTTAACTTTTATTCATTCATAATTACAGTTAATTCAGTTTATTCTCCTAAACTTTATTTCACTATGAGTCTCTAAACATGGAGTTGCAGCTTTTCTAACATTGTCCCACACTTTAACACCAATGTGTTGAATCCTTGTATAAGAGCTAGTTACTATCAATTTATGTATAAAACCCAGTGTAGAAAATGCGTTTTGGTTTTTACTTTTGTCAGTTCTAATTATGAACATCCAGATTAATCAAAAGTTTTATTTTTGAGTATCATCACCATCTTAATCATCATGAGAATGATTTACTCACCATAGACAGTAACATTGAATCTCTTGTATGAAGTTCCACTGTTGCTGAGGATCTGTAGTTTATAAAGTCCAGTGAGATCAGATCTGATGTTTCTGATGGTCAGAGATCCAGTTTGACTGTCCATCTGGAGTCTGTCTCTGAATCTCTCTCTATTAAAATATTTGATCGGTTGGATATATATTTCAGCGATACGAGTCTCTTGAGGTCCAAACATCCACAGTATTCTGATCTTCTTTCTGTATTTTAGTAATATCAGTGTTTAGAGAGACAAAATCTCCCTCCGTCACTGACACTGACTTCACGGCATCTGTACCAGCGCCAAACACACCTGAACAAAAAATAAAAAAAAAACAATCAAACTCCCTTTATGTAAATAAAAGACTGTTCAATATCAAATATTGGCTAATATTTATGAAAAAAAGCACAAAAGAGTGCACGAAACAATTCAAATCATGGAGGGACTTCAGACAAACAACCCTTAAATGAACAAATAAAATAGAAACTTAACAGCAGTTTTGACTCACAGTTTATCATTATTATTTTTCTAATTCATAGTATTTTTCTAATTTGAAAGTTTAATTGTGACGTACCGTTCAAGAGCAATGAACACAGACAGAAGAAAGATGCGTCGCAAATCATTTTTCTGAAAAACCATTTAAACAATTCTCATAGTCTACTCACGTTCCATCACAACATCAAAAACATCTATGATAATTAAAAACGTTTAAAAGCAATTCATAATCAGCTGCTATGAAGACAGTCCTATTAGGTTTGCATTTTCAGTCTTTTCTGAAGTAGATCTTGGAGTTTAGACGCACAAGCCCCCCCCCCCCCACACACACACACCCACACACACCCACACCATCCTGTCTCCCTCTTTCCCTCTCTCTCTCTCTCTCTCTCTCTCTCTCTCTCTCTCTCCCCCCCTCTCTCTCTCGACATGAGTGTTTTAGTATAGTGATCAGAATCAGATATCGCAGGTCCTCTACATGTTTGTAAGGGATGTACAAGTGAACTCAACAGATTGTAACTCAACGTTTTAACTTGCTTTCACATTAAATTAACATGCTTTTCATAATATCTGTCGAATAAAATAGCAAATAAGTGGACAAGTAGGCTGGTTGTATCCATTATTCTGATAAA